GGTACCGCGTGCCAAGCTCGCTGAACCTTATGTATATAAAACCATCAGGGCAACAGTGATGTAGCATCTATGGTGGCACCGTAATGTTGTGGTCAGCAATGGCGAGCCTCCTTCAGTTCAGCAAGTACTCCATAGAGTGAAGACAGACCTTCGGCACATCATCTGCTTGGATTGGGGCAAAAAGAAGTTGCATGCTGGGGTCACATGGTTCCGCCGTCATCGGGCCAGCCACCCCTCCTTGGTATCCGTTGATGCCTGCACCAGAGATTTTCAATTCGGTTCTTTCTTACAGTAGATCAACTTTTATGCCCTTTTACATATGCTTTTTTTTTTTGGGACTTTCTTTACGTACCCTCGCTTCTTTTTCCCCTTTTTTCGTTTTAAGCCAGGCTTATAGATTGTTCATTTCGACATCTACCTGTCCCTTGCTAGCTTAGGTACTATGATTCCCCAGGTCAAGACACAGTCTTTTTTTGGCTTTTTTCATATTCTTTCGTTGCCCTGTAGCTTTTCCCTTATTCCCCCCTTTTTCTTTTCCTTTTCTTTTGTCCTCATTTTTTCTGTTTTGCTCGAACTGTCACAGGGGAGGGGCTCCACTGCACCTCATGAAGTAGGTTGGCGACCTTACTTCCCCTGAATCTGGAACCTGTACCATTGTATTTTTGGCCTTGGGCACTGGGCCCTAATGAAAAAACAGTTCTGGCAGACAGAGTAACATACATATATATTACTACTATGTATATAGCTTTGTATGTGTACATAAAACCCCAGGAGACCTTGCTAGGGATGGTGATACGAGCCCCCACACCTAGCAGGCTGGCCAGAGGCTCCAATCCATCGCGGGGGAGCAGCGCGTGCCGGAGAATGGGTCCAGCGTCCAAATATAGTTCCTCATGCCAAAGGTTTGCGCATGCTGCAACCTGCCTCTTCAATCCGAAAAGGACTGCCTGATCTAACTTGGCCATTGGTAGCCGAGCTGCAACAACAACCCCATCTCCCCCCCCCACGCACTGCCCCGGCCACCACACGACGACATTCTGATGCTCGCAGCGTTCTCTCCGATAGCTAACCTCTCTCCGATAGCTTCCCCTCCATGCCGGCCATTGTGAATGTCTCCAATAGCTTCTCCTCCATCGCTCGCCACCACCCGCACATAATCAAACCATGCACTGCCCTGACCCGCCCCCTGGGCAGGAAAAGAAAGCCCCACCAAAAACCTGTCCACTACCAGAGCACAAAGCTCCCGAACGCGGACACATTTCCACATACGTGTGCCACAGCACACAGCTCCCGAACGTGGACGCATTTCCACACACCTGTTCACCCTCCAAAACCGAGAAAAAAACCTGTCCGCCCTGACTCGAATGCTAACGAACACCATGCAGCTTACAGTCTTCGTCCAAATCCAGACACATTTCCACGTACCCGTGCACCCTGCACAGCAAAAGAAAAACCTTTCCGCTATGAATGATGGCACATGACCCATACCACGGCCCGCCGCTTTCCCCATCCCCAACAGCTCCACCATGTAACCCTGAGGTTAACGACCTGTATGTGGACCAACACGCGGCCGAAATCTGCCGAAACACAGACGTCTTCCAGGCCTCATGCGTTAATGTCACTGACCACGTCCATAAGAAAGGGAAGGTCATTCGCCACAGTAGGCACACCCGCAGAAAAGGCAAAAAAAAAAAAAGAGCTGCCTACCCGACCCGTATCTACAAGAAGGGAAAGGGCTACATTCACTACAAAATAAGCAAAAGTACAAAACTCGGAAAATGATATAATATAAAAAAAACATACAAAAAAAACTGCAAAAACGAAAAAGAAAAGAAAACAAACACCCCCTCTCGTCCCCTCCTGACCTGCTATTCGTTCACCCTTCCTCCCAAAGAGGAAACACTGGACGTGGACCGGCACAGCACAGCAATGACCTACATATAATACAATAGGTCGCCCGCTCCTAAAGCTCGCCCACTACTGGTCTTAGACTTGCCGCCGACCGCACCTTTCCCATTTCATTTCCGCACCCCAGAATGCCCCCGCCCGACCTCCTATGGAGTCGACGATGTTGCCGCAAATGGAAACTCGCACAAAACGACAAAAGACAACCGGACTAAGCGCAGCCTCTTGGCTGCGGGTCCGTGATGCAGGGCCACGGGTTTTTGTGGTTCAGAACCCACAACACCCCTTGAGGTGCCCACACTTCTTTTCTTTTCGTGTCAGCCAATGGGGGGGAGCTTCTCATATCTGCCATATGTTTTCATTAAAAAAAAAAAAAACCTACTGCACACCAAACAAAGGAAGAAGGGGAAAAAAAACTCTATTGTGCGATCTGACAGTCATCTGTGGCCACCATAGGGGAATGCACTTTGAGCACTGTCGCACCGTCTTAAATCTCGTCCTATCCTTTGGCTAGTGGGACAGTGAGCGTCGGTGCTCCTGGTGTCGTTTCTCAGTTCAAAGGAAAAGGCGGATGGATGCAAACATTGCAAAGGGAAAAGGAGGGGAGGAAATCAAAGGAAGGAAGGAAGGGGAGGAAAAGGGAGAAAATGGGGGGCTTTTCTCAGAAGGTAACCTGCCATTGCGCCATTGCGTTCCAGTCCTTACAACTCATATGCCAAGCTCCTTATCACAAGGTGCTGGCAGTGAAGATGGATATTCGACGGTGATGATGCTGGTGAGGCCTTGCTCATGGTGACGATGGTGACGACGAACGGCCTCAGGCTAATGATGATGATGATGATGATGATGATGATGATGATGAGGAGGAGGAGGAGGAGGAGGAGGAGGAGGATGCTTACGATGATGGGATGGGATAAATAATGATTGAGGAAGAGGAAGAGGAGGAGGAGGAAGGGGGAGGGAGAGAGGGAGGGAGGGAGCGTTGCTGTGGGGTGTGGATTGGTCTGCCATCCATCTATCCATCCATCTGTGGGCACTCTTCGGCTGACATAAGTTGTTCATGGTGGTGTCATGGATGTGTGCAGGTGGGATTCTCAAGCAGCAATGGAATCCTATCTTCGACGAAGGGGCTGGGACTTGCTCCTCCTCTCTCTCCTGTGCACAAGCTTCGATTGGGTAAGACTGTGTGCCAGGCAGCGGCTGCAGGCGGACGGGTGCCAGATATGGGAAAGCGTGTGCTCATGAACTGGCTTCTGGCTGGTGCTGTCAGTCTTCCTGTCGCAGGCATGGCTGGCCCATACCTCTACTTCTTCGTCCCCCAGGGGTAAGTCCTCTCTCTCTCTCTCTCTCTCTCTCTCTCTCTCTCTCTCTCTCTCTCTCTCTCTCTCTCT